AATAATAATAATCAAGGTGGGAGACATCCTCATAATGCTAAAATATATAATCTCATAGTCACGATATAATCCTCAACTCAAATGTATAATATCATCTTATAAAACCACATGTAATCCACTAAAAATGTACTCTCTGACTGAAATATGTAATTCACTCTTCAGGCTAGAAACTTTCGCCACAAGCCCTCAGCTGTTTTCGTGAACGAAAGTGGGTCTTAAGACATCTGGTAATCAATTTTAAAACACGACTAAAGCCCATTATTGATCAAGACTCTCCATGTAGGATAGAATACGGCCAAAGCCTCTCTTTGAATTAGAAAAGGTATATAATCACAGTTACTTTTCTGGTCGATCCACATTCCAATTCATAAGTAATTCATGTACAACCTTTATGATTTCACATATATCATATTGAAAGAACATTTCATAATAATCATGTAATTGTACAAGAAATTCACATGATTGCACATAATGTAATAGTATAATTAATTTATCAATATTTGAAAATATATAAGTTTTTCCACTCACAGAACTATGTACGCAAAATCAACTCGATTGGTAAGCTATCCCAATATCTGTATCACCGCCTGAAATATGATATAATACTTAGATTAACAATTAACTATTTTAAGTAACTTTAATAATTAAATAGGTGATACCAAGTACTAATCCTTTTATACTTAAGAAATTTTCTCGATTTCTTTAATTACTTAAGCTATTTTTCTTCCTTTTAACTTAGTTTCCTAGCTTATTATACTAATTCAATAGTTCCTTTTCAATAAAAATTGAATTTAAAGTAATCATCTAACAATTCTAAAATTAAACATAACCATGCAATAACTAACATTTTACTTATCTTTTGAAATTAAGGAATTCAAACTTAATATTATACCTACTTATTTTTTAACAACTTGGCAAATTTTCCTTTTTTTCTTTCTTTCCTCTTTTCTCCCTGCCGTCATTTTCCTTCTGTGTTGTGTGTGGAAATGGATGAGTATAGCAAATGAATTGGATAATATACATCCAATCCACCACCTTCCACTTTGTTTTCTGTTTCATTCCATTTTTTTTTTTTAGTATAACATATTTGACTAGAAGTTAGGTTAGACTTGGTTTTCATTTTTTTACCTTACATCAAAAGCCAAAAATGAAGATTCCGTGTAAAATGAACCGACATCTATGGTATATAAACTTGGACCATTCTTGGGATACACAATGGATAAAATGAACCGACATCTATGGTATATAAACTTGGACCATTCTTGGGGTACACAGTGGACACCATAATGGTGTCCATAATCCCGAGGTGGCGCCTCCCCATTGGAGGAGGTGCCGAGCCCACAGGCGCCCCCTACCGACATTATGGACACCATTATGGTGTCCGTTATGTACACTTAGAATATTCCTATAAACTTAGCCTTCATTGTGACAGATCAACGGTCATAATAATGACAGATGTCACCATCCAGTTGAAGCATCCTACTGATAAAGGTGTGTTTTGATGAGTTTGTTTCACTCATGATTTTTGCACAATTTTAGTTTGATTAAATGTTAGATCTTGTGAGTATAGAACGTTTTTGATGTGTTTGTTAGTATTGTTTTGAAGATTAGGAGAGGCGATGCGAAAAGAGGTATTAAAGTGGACGAAGAGGACAAAAACACGGAATTGGGACAGAAAAACGACGCTTAGGTGCTGCATTCATAGCGCCTAGACACTACGAAACTGAAAAAAGATGAAAATTGAACTTGAGAGGCAGCGCCTAGGCGCCGCAATCATAGCGCCCAGGCGCTGCGATTGAATTTCTAGGGCGCATTTTTTTGGGCCATTTTAAAATTCATAAAAACCCTACTTCGACACAAAACGAAGGGGCACCTTTAAATACATCTTTCTCATACTTTTGAAGGGTTCTTGACATATGGGAGACAAGAAAACAAAAAGAGAGATTCAAAAGAGAAATTCAAAAAGATTAACACCAAGCAATTGAAAATTAGAAGCATTCATTGGAAGAGGAAGGAGATCTTGGTCCAAGAATTCTACTTTTTCTTCTACATCTTTATTACAAACTCGGTGATGCATTCTAAGATAATTTCCTACTTTTCTTCTTGCATTATGAGTAGCTAAATTCATTGTTAGGGGGAATAATGTAACCAATTGGGATCTTTTATATTCTTTTATTGAGATTTTCAGTTTTTAATTTTTTCATGTGTTGATTTTGCTATAGTTGAATGCATTAAATTATCTGATCAATAATTTGATGATTTTTGTGAATTCTTTACAAATAGAGATATGAGTTTAGGATTTAGACCATGTAGTAAAATCCAGTACATTGATATAATGAGTAGAGATACCTATACCATTTATTGTCGTCATAATTGAATTCCTAGGACATAGAACTCATTTAACTAAGTTGAATTTACATAGAGATATGAAATTTAATTAGTTGAATAGGCTCAATGAGAACTCGAGAGGGGTAAATTGAATACAATAGGAGAATTCGACCAAGCACTACATTAGAATTGAGTTTTAATTTGAGATGTAAAGGTGATCAATTGGTGAAGTTATTCTACCCTAACATCCATTCCTTATTTGATTCTCCAACCAATCGTGTGAACATTCAGTTATTTTCTAGAATCTAGATTAAAATCCAGATTTTACAACCTTTAGTTTGTTTTAGTCAAATAGTAGTTAAAGAAAAATTGAATTAAGTACTAGAAAATAGTCCTTGTGGGATCGACAATCCGGACTCTTAGGTTCACTATTACTTGTTAAGGGTCGTACACTTGCGAAACAAAATTTAACAAGAAGTTTTTGGCGCCATTATCAGGGACTTTCTTCTAGTCTCAATTAATTTTATTTTAACTGGTATTTGATTTGTTTATTTTTCTTTTACTTATAGAAAATTGTGTTCGTTGTATGCTCCGTGCCCAGGCAACGATCTTGAATCGTTTGATTCGGAGATAGAACGTACCTTTAGATGAAGACGCAAAGAACACAAACAAAAACAGCAATGTCCAATGGCTGACATCAATAAATCCATATCCCGATTCAGCCGATTGGACAAATGGCCACAAGAGTGGCACCACTGGAACAAAGCATGAGCGAGGAGAAATAAATGAAGGTGATTTGCCAGTATCAATGTTTGTGACACCTATAGCAGCACCCATGCGCTCCAGTATCGCGTATCCAGATTTTAGGATAAATAACTTTCAGATCAGGCCAGATTGGATTAACTTGATGAGCAACAACCTGTAATTCTACGGGCTACCTCAAGAGAATCCAAACACGCATATCTCCAGATTTCTCAGAAACTGTCAGATCTTTCATACTCCGAGGGTCAATGAAGATATTATTAAATTACGACTATTCCCATTTACATTGAGAGATGCTGCATTGAAGTGGTTAGATGTTGAGCCTCACGCTAGCATTACTATATGGGAAGAACTAACCAGTAAGTTCTGTAATATATTTTTCCCACCGACGAGGGTAACTAAAATCAGATTGGAAATTCAAACTTTTCAACAGAAAGAGGGAGAAAGCTATCACGAAACATGGAAAAGGTTTAATGAGATGATGAGAAAATGCCCAAACCATGGGATTACTATAGGTAATCAAGTGCAATACTTCTACACTGGACTTACACCACTGTCAAAATCCCAAGTCGATGCCTCAGCCAGAGGATCAACTATAGGAAAATCTGTGCAGCAAACCATGGAACTGTTTGAGTTGATTGCCACTACACATTCAATGTTCTCATCGAAAAGAGTGGTGCCACCGAAGACAGGAGGAATGCATGAGTTAGACAGCACGGCAGCTACCAACGCCCAAATAGTAGCATTAACAAAACAAGTAGAGTTATTGGTGAAATCACAAACGAAAGGAGCACATGCAGTGACAACTGGTCCATCATGCGAGAACTGTGGGGCTAATCATCTGATAGAAAACTACACATCTGTAGGCTATCCCGACGAACAGGTCAATTTCATTCAGAATGGGTCTCGAAATTTTAATCCATTTGCTCAAACGTACAACCCAGGATGGAGACAACACCCAAACTTCAGATGATCGGATAATCAACAAGGGAACAGTTCAAATAATGCCCAACAGGAGAAAAAACCGGGAAAGATGTTCAACCAGTACATGCAGAAGACTGACAAGGTGTTTCATCAGATTGACACTAACTTTCAGAAGCAGCAAGCATCAATCAAGAAGTTGGAAACGCAAATTGGTCAGATAGCTCAATAGCTTGCAGAACGTCCACAAGAGACATTGCCAGGCAATACAATGGTCAATCTAAAAGAACAAGTGCGTGCTATTACTACTTGGAGTGGGGTACAACTTCTAGAAATACATGTGAAGAAACCAGAGCGAAAAGAAAAGGAAATTATGGGTAAAGAGGCTGGGAAAGAAGTAGAGTTTGAACAACCAACTGACAAGGAAAATGAAAAGGAAAGAAACACCTGCAATGAGAGCACCTAGCCCCGTAAAGGCTTATGTGCCACCAATTTCCTTCCCTCAAAGGTTACAAAGAAAGAAATTGGATAATCAGTTTGCCAAGTTTTGTGGAGATTTTCAAGAAACTGCACATCGATATTTCTTTTGTAGACGCAATTGCCCAAATGTCCAGCTATGCAAAATTCTTGAAAGAGCTCCTATCTAACAAAAGGAAGCTGGAAGAACATGAGACAGTATGCTTGAACGAGGAGTGCAGTGCAATACTATTGAGAAAGCTACCTCCTAAACTAAAAGACCCAGGGAGTTTTACTATACCTTGCACAATTGGTTCTAATTTCTTTGAAAATTCTTTATGCGATTTAGGTGCTAGTGTTAATTTGATGTCTCTCTCTCTGTTTACAAGTCTCTTGGATTAGGAGAGGTAAAACCTACAATAATCTCTTTGCAATTGGCCGACAGATCGATCAAACGACCAAAGGAAATTATTGAAGATGTGCTAGTCAAAATTAACAAATTTATTTTTCCAGCCGATTTCATTATTTTGGACATGGAAGAGGACTCAAATATTCCTCTGATCTTGGGAAGACCCTTCTTAACTACTGGGAGAGCATTGATTGATGTTTATGATGGAAAAATGATTCTTCGAGTGGACAATGAGCAAGTCATATTCAACATGTTCAAGGTAATGAAACACCTATTGACTTCCGACACTTGCTGCCAAGTTGATGTTCTCGAAGAGCTTGTGGTAGATACATTTGATATGGAGCATCACACAAATCTTTGTGAGATAGAACTTGTGCAATTGGAAGCAACAAATGCAGGAAAAGTTGAATGTGTTGTCAACTTAGCCGAGCAACCCATAGGAAGAAAGCATTGGCAATATGAATATCTTGGTGACAACCCTTCTCCCCCGGTACCCTCAGTGGAAAAGGCACCCACTCTTGAACTAAAGCCCTTACCTTCCCATCTTTGTTATGCATATTTGGGAGAATCTTCAACACTGCCAGTAATCATTGCAAATGACATGACAAGGGAAAAGGAGAATAAATTGTTGGAGGTACTTAGGCAGCACAAAATGGCAATTGGATGGACAATAGCTGATATAAGAAGGATCAGTCCAACTCTTTGTATGCACAAGATTTTAATGGAGGACGGGTCAAGGGCATTAGTGGAAGGACAACGCCGACTAAATCCAACTTTGAAAAAAGTCGTGCGAAAAGAAGTGCTGAAATTACTGGATGCGGAAATAATTTATCCCATATCTGATAGTTCGTGGGTGAGTCTTGTACATGTTGTACCAAAAAAAGGTGGAATCACAGTGGAGAAGAACGAGAACAACGAGCTGATACCAACATGGTTAGTGACAGGGTGGAGAGTATGTATAGATTATAGAAAGCTAAATAAGGCAACCAGAAAGGACCATTTTTCATTGCCATTTATTGATCAGATGTTGGAAAGGTTGGCAAGACATTCTCATTATTGCTTTCTAGACGGATATTCAGGGTACAATCAAATAGTAATTGCTCCAGAAGACCAAGAGAAGACAACATTCACATGCCCTTATGGAACATTTGCATTTAGAAGAATGCCTTTTGGTTTATGCAATGCACTGGCAACCTTTCAACGATGCATGATGGCCATCTTTTCTGACATGGTAGAAAAGTATATTGAGGTTTTTACGGACGATTTTTCTGTGTTTGGAGATTCCTTTGACGATTGCTTGGATCGGTTGGCTCTTGTATTGCAAAGATGTGAGGAAAAGAACCTTGTGTTTAATTGGGAAAAATGTCATTTCATGGTAAAGGAAGAAATAGTATTGGGACATTGAATTTCTGCACAGGGGATTGAAGTGAACGAAGCCAAAATATAGGTGATTGAGAAATTGCAGCCACCTAATTCAGTAAAGGGGATCAGGAGTTTTCTGGGACATGCAGGATTTTACAGAAGATTCATTCAAAACTTTGCAAAAATTACAAAATCGTTGTGCAACCTGCTGGAGAAAGATATACCATTTCAATTTTCTTATGAGTGTTTGAAAGCCTTTAACACTTTGAAAAAAAAATTGACATCGGTACCTGTGATAGTGGCTCCAGATTGGGAATTGCCTTTTGAGCTCATGTGTGATGCCAATGACTTTGCAGTGGTGGCAGTGCTACTACGCTAGCAAAACATTGAATGATGCTCAGATCAACTATACAACAACTGAAAAGGAAATGCTTGCAGTTGTTTTTGCTTTTGACAAATTTCGTTCTTAATTGATTGGGTCCAAGGTGATAATTTGTATAGACCATGCAGCTCTGAAGTATTTGTTTGAGAAGAAGGACGCGAAACCAAGGCTCATTCACTGGGTGCTGTTACTACAAGAATTTGACATCGAGATTCGTGATAAAAAAGGAACAGAAAATCAGGTAGCGGATCACTTATCAAGGATAAAGCAACTGTAGGATTCAGATGATATGAATATTAATGAGGTCTTCCTAGATGAACAGTTACTGCAAGTAGAAAAAGCTTCGTGGTATGCAGACATTGTTAATTACTTAGTCAGTGGCTATATGGATCCAGATCTCACCTATCAGCAGAAGAAGAAGCTCAGTCATAAAGTGAAATTCTATTACTGGGATGATCTAAACTTATATAGGAGAGTGGCAGACCAGATCATTAGGAGATGTGTGCCTGGGGATGAAATGAAATCGATCCTTTCACGAGTACATGCTTCGACTTATGGAGGGCACTTTGGCCCCACTAAAACAGCAGCAAAGGTGCTCCAATGTAGTTTCTTTTGGCCTACATTGTTCAAGGACTGCCACAGTTTCTGTAGGTCATGAGATACGTGTCAAAGAACAGGTAACATATCAACGCGTCACGAGATGCCACTTAACAACATTTTGGAAGTGGAAATATTTGATGTCCATGGGGTTGATTTTATGGGTCCGTTTCCATCATCTTACAACAATCGGTACATCCTAGTTGCGGTGGACTATGTTTCAAAATGGGTAGAAGCTAAAGCATTGCCTATAAATGACGCAAGAGTGGTGGTGGACTTCATAAAGAAACACATATTTAACTGCTATGGATCACCTAGGGCCATTATAAGTGATGGTGGAATGCACTTCCGCAATTGGTTATTCCAAGCAGTGTTGCATAAGTACGGGGTACAACATCGAATTGCCACTCCTTATCACCCTCAGACAAGTGGACAGGTGGAAACGTCAAACAGACAATTGAAGAGAATTTTGGAGGTCACTGTGAATGCATCTCGCAAGGATTGGTCAAAAAAATTGGACGAAGCTTTACGGGCATATCGCACAGCTTACAAGATACCTATAGGAATGTCCCCATACCGACTAGTCTTTGGGAAAGCATGCTACCTACCAGTGGAGTTTGAGCACAGTGCGTACTGGGCATTGAAGCAGTTAAACATGGACCTCGAAAAGGCTAGAGAAACAAGAGTACTATAGCTACATGAGTTGGAGGAATTCAGAAGAGAGGCATATGAAAATGCATCCATCTACAAGAAAAGGACAAAGCAGTGGCATGACAAGAACATCAGGCAACGAATTTTTCGAGTGGGGGTTCAAGTGCTACTATACAATTCCCGACTTAAGCTTTTTCTAGGAAAATTGAAGTCTAGATGATCCGGTCCTTTTACGATCTCTCAGATGTTTCCCTACGGGACAGTTGAATTACACCATCCAACTAAAGGAAATTTCAAAGTAAATGGCCAATGCATCAAGCATTATGTGGAAGATTTCCCCACCACTAAATAGAGTCTTGATCTAGCTGTTCCCGAATAACTGCAGCACTATGTCCAGCTAATGACTTAAAAGAAGCGCTTCTTGAGAGGCAACCCAAGCTCTACCCTTTAGTTGATTATTAGTTTTTGCTTTGATTTTGTTGTTCCTTTAATCATCTATGCTTTAGTGGTAACACTTTCTTTTGTTTTTTTTGTAGGAGAATCTATAAAGGTTACATATTGCGGAATTTGAGTTCTACAATGAAAATGAATGAGTGTGATAAGGAGGAGTTAAAAAAAAGGTATTAAAAAAAGGGCAGTAACGTAGCGCCCAGGCGCTGAGCGCTTTGAAACTGCCAATTCGAGGTAGAAGGCGCTGCGAAATTGCCAATACGGGTAGAGACGCAGCGCCTAGGCACTACGTTCTGCCCAAGTCTAGGGTTAATTTCTAATCGGTACTCGAGAGAGGGGGTCAGGAATACATTAGGGTTCTTTTTCTTTTTTTATACTTTTTTTTTATTTCTTATAACCTCTTCTCCTCTCCCTCTCACATTACGTAATTTTCCCATATCTACTCCCTCTCATCTTCTTCCCCCAACATCCTTAAGTTTCTCCCTTTTCTCCTCCTCCTCAACCTCCTAAGGTACACTCTTCCCCTCTCTTTCGTTATTTAGTTTTGTTCTTTATTGATTTTATTTTATTTTTTCCTCTTTTCACCTCAGCTACATCACAATTCTTTCACTTACACATATTCTCGCCCCCCCAATCTCCCTTGTTGTTTTCATCGTTTCATTGTTGCAAAGTGTGAATTCATCCATCCCTATTAGTTTCCACAACACCATTCTAGGTATGGCTCTTTTGTGCTCCCTATTACACTTATAGTTGATGCTTATATGTGCCTATTTTTGATAATTATGTTAAGAGGAGGGCTTTCTTTGTTGTGGTGTCAAGAAATTTGTATATGGTGCGAATAATGTGGCATGGATTACTTCTAAATTATGGGCACTTTTTGGTGAAAATTTGGTGCCTTCAAAGTGTTTGATGGATTGCCTAGGTGAACTTAGTTGGGTACAAAGGAGCTATTGTGGCTATTATGCTAATTGACTTATGTGAGAATTGCCATATAGATGATCGTGAATTGAAATTAGGTTTAGAATACATCTATTGCACGTTCGACCATAGTTTCCCCTTATGGCTAGATTTTAAGCCCTGACTTATGTTCCTTTACTGTTGTTTTTGCTAATGGTTTGCATGTTCTACACTTGTACAGGTCTAATGCCGCCTAAAAAGAGATCTAAAGTCGTAGCCTCCTCTTCTAGCTCATTTGACAGGAGCAAATTCATTAGTGTCGAAGCCCCTGAACGATATAATAGCCTATGGTATACAAGACTTGTATCCCTGAATGTGGTTTTGACAAGTATATGACAGAGCGGATAGGTCGACGAAATTGGGAAGTGTTTGCTCGACAACCACGACCGGCGCTAATTCCGATTGTTTGGGAGTTCTACACCAATGCGAAGGAGTATCGAGATTTTCGAGTGTTTATGTGGGGTAAATGGATACCGTTTAACAGAACCTTCATCAACAGGTTTTATAATTTGCAAGATATTGAAAATGACGAGTACTCTAGACTTCGTGACGAGGGTGTTGATCCTAATGAGGTCATTCGAATCTTGGCCACAACTGGTACTACATGGAAACGTTCTATGACTTCGGGTTGTAAGGCTTGGCATCACTTCATTTCTGGCAAACTTATTCCCAGTAGCAATTTAAGTGAAGTAACAAAAGAACGGGCTACCCTCAATTATGCCATTCAATGCCACCTATCAATTGATGTTGGTAAAGTTATTCATAACAACATCTTACACACTTTGAAAGGATCGACGACGGGTGGTCTAGGGCACCCATCGTTGATTTATGAGCTTTGTTTAGCGGGTGGTGTTGTCACATACCCGACTGAGGAGGTTGTGCTCCCTAAATCGACAATCACACAAGCTCGTACTTGGAAGTTCTTACGCCGTTCCGAATCTACCAGTGCTCCACCCCCTCCTCGGAGCGACCAGCCGCCCCGATCATGCCGACCGACCCCAGCTAGTGACCCCACTTCTGACATAGCCGCTCAGCTTCATGACATGCAATTGCAAATAAATTTGATACAAAATACATTGTGCGAGCAATTCCATTATTAACATGAGTTCAATGCGGTCCTGGCTTCGATTTACTCCGATCGAACATTTCCTCAGCCGCCTCTCCTACCTAATCATGCTGCCAATCCAATTTCGAATACCCAGGATGACGATTAATGTCGTCCGTCAGGTAAGTCCCCTCCCCATTTTGTTTCTATTTCACATTGAGGACAATGTTTCAGTTAAGTTTGGGGGGAGTGAAAAAAAAAATTTGCTTACGTTGTTGAGTTTCTCGAATGCTTGCATGTGATTTGCTTGTTTTATGTGTTCATGTGTTTATTTAAAAAAAATTATATTTACATTTTCATATTCAACATGCCTGTGTGAATTAGATAGTCTTGTTAGCTAAGATGAATATATTTGAAAGCATGTAATAGTTTATGGATTGTGGATGAATCATATGTTTTAATTGGACTTTCTACTTATCCATGGGTAGCGGTATAACATTTATGCACGAGTATTAAGTTGAGCGTCGTACAGAAACATGAGGGCTCATGTACATAGGCTAAAGAGATGACTTAGGTATATAATCCCGTAACCCATGAATGTCAATACCCCTTAACCGTGTATATTATAATTTGGGGCGTTCTAATCGGCGAAAGAAATGATTTACGATTGTGTTGATTCCATGCATGTGAAAAAGATTGTGTGGAGTGTATTTAATTTTCTGGTATAAGCTTGGTGATGACTGAATGCTAGAAATCTAACCCCTATAAATTTCGCTTTTTTTTATAAGAGAAGAAACATTGCACGTATTCAGCTGAGTCTCACACCTACACCATTTTTACTCGAGTTATTATGTCCGTAGGGGTCTCTTGAAACTTGGTACCCTTTGGTATACAAAAAAATTGGGAAGTTACCGACCTAACACTCACTACATGGGGTCAAGAAGTGGAAAAGAGGGTGAGGTAAAAAAATTAAATAAAAAAAAAAGAGAAAAGAAAAGGAAAAAAAAAAGAAATTGATCTTGGGGGCCTAGATAACTAGTGGGTTTGAATCACTAAGTATAAACTAGATTGTTGAAACATTCATAAATTGGGAGAATCACTATATGAATGAATTGTTGACGTTGCCGGTTGAACTAACCCAAATTAGAGTGGTGTGAGGAAATCTTAAGCAAAACTGAACTTTAGAATTACACCATGGTAAGAGAATAAAATAACCAAGCTTGACCCTCCACACACACCCCCCTCCCCCCGCTCTTCACATTGTACGAGTGGAAGTTTGGTTCTTGCATTATGATTTTAACACCATTCATAAATATAATATAATGTTATCAATGCTGAGCCAAAAAGACAAATTGTCTAACTGATTAGTTGTGTGTGTATCGTCCTTAGATGATTTTACTGTTTGATTTTTTTGTTTCTCAAGGACTAGCAAATGGTTAAGTTTGGAGGTATTTGATGAGTTTGTTTCACTCATGATTTTTGCACAATTTTAGCTTGATTAAATGCTAGATCTTGTGAGTATAGAACGTTTTTGATGTATTTGTTAGTGTTGTTTTGAAGATTAGGAGAGACGGTGTGAAAAGAGGTATTAAAGTAGATGAAAAGGCCAAAAACACAAAATTGGAACAGAAAGATGACGCTTAGGTGCTGCATTCATAGCGCCTAGTGCTACGAAACTGAAAAAAGATGAAAATTGAACCCGAGAGGCAGTGCCTAGGCGCCGCAATCATAGCGCCCAGGCGCTGCGATTGAATATCTAGGGCATGATTCGAAAGAGAAATTCAAAAAGATTGACACAAAGCAATTGAAAATTAGAAGCATTCATTGGAAGATGCAGGAAATCTTGATGCAAGAATTCTACTTTTTCTTCTACGTCTTTATTACAAACTCGGTGATGCATTCTAAGATAATTTCCTACTTTTCTTCTTGCATTATGAGTAGCTAAATTCATTGTTAGT